CCCTATTGGCTCCAAACAAATTTAAATACGAGTTTAATCCAAGGATTTTGTATCGGTTGTTACATTTATCAAGACACAGAAATTCCTTAACAATAATGTCTCTCCGAACAAAATGAAACTCCAAACGTGGAAGAATGGTGTTTTCTCCTTCTTGACTAGCAACACTGCATCTGCATTCATAAATTCCTGAGAATGTGGAGAAACGCAGCAATTAACTCGCCCCGTTGACAATAGCGCGCTCCTTTTTTTGTGGTGGTCTTGAACAGATGGCATTGTTCATCACGAAGTTTCTCGGTATGGAGACAGCAACTGCACGCAATTTGCGAGCGGTTTAATTTATCTCGAAGAATTTCAGTGTTTGTTTATGCTTGTGTTGTTTTTGCGTTATGAAAGCTTCAAAATATATGTGGTAGGGGAGACCATGCGGCGGCGCGGTCTCTCAAGCGGATGGCATCAAGCTGAGGCCAGGAAAAAGTGGGTAAGCTGTGAACGGTGTCATTTGTGATTTCACAGAAGCCAACTTTAGCAAGTTGGAGCCTCCTTCTCAAACTTAGTGCCATCGCGCGTTGAGAGACCGGGCCGCGTGGTCCCCATAACCCATTTAGCACCATATTTAGTTATAGTAACAATCGAAGGTTCTGATAATTCATACAAATCACTTTTGCACACAGCTTATGTGTTTTGATGTTCGAATAATAGTTCAAGATCTCTGTCTTCTAGTCTATGGTGATGACGTTGCGCATTTGTATGTCACTGAAGTAGTGTGACGTTGTCAGTGCGTTAACAAAGGTGGCTATAAGAAGATGTGTAAGCAAAGTTCCAGATGGATTACAAGGAACAACAAACACAAGAGATCGAAGCTCTCCAAGCTATTTATCAAGAAGACGAGCTGGAAGTTACTTGCGACCAGTATCCGAATATTTCCTTGCGTGTGAATTTGAAATCAAACCAGGTGACTCCTCTTTCCTATTCTTTCTGAGGAAGTCCTAGCACGGTCAGCGGACTGCTTGATCTCGGTACTTTGAGCCGCCACAGTTCAATGCTCTCATTTGCGCTCTCTTGCCTCATCAGCGGCTCATGACCATGGTGATCTCACATATTCAAACTTCCCAGTATTAGGTATATCATCCTAGAGTCCTCCCCGCTCCAAGGCTTAGTCTAGAGCTCCCGGATCTCTTTTTGGGAGCAGCGTTCTATAATTGCTTTGTGCTTTCCGTCATTCGTGGCAGGAGCATACAAGAAAAGTATGCAAGTATTATAGTTTGTAAACCTACCACAGTATGAAGGTTAGGGGTGGTTTACGGGTTACTTGAAATTTATTATATTGGTCTGCCAAGAAGGCGATAACACCAGAAGAGAGAGAACAGCATCATGGTGAGCCACTTCGTGTGCGCAAAAGTAGTCGGTTGAGTGATTGGTTTCGGGATTTCATGTTTTATCGTGTCGTTTTATGTAAGCTGAACAACTTTCTAAGAATGAGTGTGCTTGCGATTTCGATGTCGCCCTAGTCATGCAATTACCAGAAACTTATCCGGATGTCATTCCACGAATATCTTTAGAGGGACTTGAAGAAATTTCACCCGAGGACGTACGCAGGCATGTCAGGTAAGAATTGCTTTGGTCCTTAGAATCCTTGTAAAATTTCTCGAAGATAAGCTGAGCTCAGCCCATCATTGTTCTTTTTCTTCGGCTTCGATAATTTTTAAACAACAAGAATTGCGATATATGTATTACGCTGTTTAATGAATTACTCTTTATTTTCGGCATAAATTATTCTAATTCTCAATGGGGTATTGGTATTTCAGAGTTGGAGAGGAGCTTTTCTATACTCGGAGATGGTAATGGTTCTTTTCAATTGTCAGTGCTTTACAAGTGAGTTGATGACGTCAGTAATTGCTCTTTTGCTAATGCCCATTTCTGCTTCAAAGAAAACGGAGCATATGAAATATTCGATCAGTTATTTACTCTGTACATTTTGTCCTGCATTTACATCCAACCTAAACGCTGCAATATTCGGCAACTAAACATTTTACTTTAGGATGAAATAGGGAACTTATTGGACGAGAAGAAGAAAGAGCTGGAGAAGAAAGTTGAAGAAGAAAAGGAAAAAGTCGAAGCTGTTTTGAGGAAGAAGTTCGAAGGTATCTCAACGGTTTTGATGTTTCCTCTTCCTTCCCAGACTTACTTCAAATTCTTCGGTTAGCTATCGTTTTTTCTATGGTTGTCACTTTCGAACGAATGCTTTGGTCTTGTTACTGAGGCGCAGCATTACATGACGTTCTTTTACCATTATTCACATTTAAAAAAGCGTACAGAGCCACTAAGCGTTGTATTTTCATTTTCGCTGCGCTGCTCTTCCACCTCAACAACTGTTCCTAATTTTTGCTGTCATTTTTTTGTCATTTGTGTGGACGCAGCCTTGCTGCTCGCGTTTTTTTTACATTTGTGAATTTCATAACACCAATCCAATTTTTTTCTGTTTTTGTCTTCCTCCAATCAATCAACAGGTCTTTTTCATGCTCTCACTCAAAAACTCCGAAAAGTATTCCTCACCTCCCGTATTTTAACTTTGGTATAATAAAGGCTGGTGTCAGAGTCCGCGATCCGTCGCAGGTTTCGCTGATTTTCGCGATTTGCGCGATTCACGCGATTTGCGCGATTTGCGCGATTCACGCGATTTTCGCGATTTGCGCGAAACCTGCGACGGATCGCAAAAATTGCAAGTGCCCCATTTGAACATTTGAAACACTGAATATGAAACAAGTGGAATCATGAGCAGTCGTCATTCAGCCATCACTATCAAGCAGAAGTGGCGGCAGGATTGGAGAACACCTTGCAGTATTGATCGGGCACTTGTGATTTCCGTGACCCGTCGCGTGAATCGCGCAAATCGCGTGAATCGCGCAAATCGCGAAAATCAGCGAAACCTGCGACGGATCGCGGACTCTGACACCAGCCTAAGTCGTTTCTGTGGGCGCGTAACTCGCACAGCATTAGATGCGTATTGATCGTCGGACTTGCCTGAGCATTCGACAGTCGAAACTTATCTATGCTGTGTGATCGTTACGATAGGATGACCGACTATGCATGCGCCCTGCAGTGCATCTCAGGTAGTTTCTTGATAGCCAGGAGATGGAAGGATGGAGACAGGTAGTAAAGGGACCTTTGCATGGTGCGGGTAACAGTCCTTCTCATTTGCTATAATTCTTTAAGCGGTACAGGATTTGTTTGAGATGATAAAAACACTGACACTTACATTGTATGTCATTCCTCTTCTCCCAGCCAGTTATTTCACCGACCAATTCATGCAAATACCATCACGGTTTGAACGACTAG